AAAGCTTTCTCAAAGTCCACAAAACTAATATATATACTTCTCAGCCATTCATTGCATTGTTCTAAAATGTTACGTATGGCAAAGGTGTGTTCAGTTGTTCCTCTGCCCTTTCTGAATCCTGCTTGTTCTACTCGTAGGCATTTATCTACTCCTTTTTCAAGCTGCATTATGATGATTTTACAAAATATTTTGCTTGGTACTTGCAGTCTGTTAAGTCCTCTTTTGGAGAGATTTGGACTATTGTTCCTTCAGTCCAGTCATCAGGCAACACTTCTTTTTCCCAAATTTCCTTGAACAGTGGTTCTAGAATGCTAGCAGCTGTGTTGGGATCTACTTTGAGAAGTTCTGCTGGCAGTTCGTCTTTGCCTGGTGCTTTGTTGTTCTTTAAAGTGTGGATAGCTTTAAGAATTTCTTGGTTGCTCGGTGGTTCAGTAGTAATGTTGGTTGAATATCTGGGGGATTTTCAGGATTAGGTCTGTTCAAGAGGTCGGAGAAGTGTTTAGTCCACTGCATGTATTGTTTTTTTTTTTTTTTTCCTGTGGTGAGCAGTCTGCCTTGGTCATCTCTGATGGGTATACTGTGATAATTGTTTCTGCTTCCGCAAATTTGCTGGGTAATTTTGTGTAGGGTTTGTAGATCATGTGCTTTAGCAGCATTTTCTGCTGTTGCTGCTAGATTTGCCATAAATCTTTTTTTGTCAGCTCTGGCACTTTTCTTTGTCATTTTATTTTTAACGTCAGCATAAGGTTCTGTAATCCTTTTTGCAGGCTGGTAATAAGGAGTGGTTAGCATCTTCAGTCGATCTCCATCTTTAGGCCAAGCAATTGTTGAAATTCTTAGCGATTTAGTGTTAGTCCAGTTTTGGTGGAAAACTTGAAATCTGACACGCCAGAGAAATGTCTCAAGTAGAGGGTGGGTCTACCAGTATAGACCGAAACATTTTTAAAGCCAGCTCCTCACTTCTAGTCATGTTGACCTAGTTGGTCAGGACTATAGACATCGTCAGTGTGTGTATGGCCTCGACAATAAGAAGGTGGTCGGCTGTTTATATACCCACCGTGAGCTTGTAGAACCGGTTGAAACTCGATATGTCCGGACTGGTGCTGTTGATTAACGTTGAAACAACTCGCCAAACGATTCGGTCGTTGACGTGTTGTCTATATGAAGACGAAAATGGCAGTAAAACGGCAGCGGCATTTAATCAGTATAAAATAAATAACTTAGTCTACAAGTAATGCTCTGCAAGTCCTGTAAGGCACGAGGGTTGTACCTGAACGGTCTAGTCGAGTGGCGCTCGATAAAACTTATAATTTCAGCTTAGAAGTCCGAAGGAGTTGAACCAGGCAAACTCCTCGACCCCATTGCAGTACAGACCGATACAGTGTGAACCCTGCTGGTCGCTGGAGTTCGTGTTGATGACAAAAACCGTAGTCTTATTGTGGTCGAAATTTGTTGGTTGTTGATTAAGGGCCAAAAACTTGTACGAGATGTGTTCGGCGGACAACGTGGTCAGATAAGAGTATTTGGCGTATCTGCTGTGTATTTACGGTCTTAGGCGAAGTCCACTAGTACTTGATGCGTCTTGGAGATTTAGAGTACAGAGTCATGTTCATCGTAGATAATAACTTGTAATGGTTCAGGTGTGAAGATGGTGAACTTAATTCCAAAGACAACGCCTCTGAGCGGGGCATCTCAAATTCCCTGTCCAACAGGCTGGGGAAGAGGTCAAGGGCATATAGAGCGTAGCCATTCTTATGATGTTTGTATTCAGCACCATTACCGGCGTCTTTACCCACCAGTCCCATAGCCAACATAGTGCCGAAGAAATCTTTCACACAGTGGTTATTTTTATAATCTGGCATTAACGATTTACTGGACAAACTACGACCGTCTACACTCACATTCAGATACGTTAACTTGCACTGTTGAAAATTGAAGGGATTGCAGTCTTGAGGGGCAGTTTAAGGTTACAGAGATAATTAGTCCAATCAGTAATCTGGTGGGCGTCTGACTCAGAAAGACGTTGTCTTGGGCTTGAGACAGCATTACTTAAGGTGAAGAAGGTTTTCAGATTCTCTCGTTTCAAAGGATATGTAGCATTGTTTTTGGTCAAGGCTTTCTCGTGGGCCAGAGAGATGGCCAGATTTAATTTGGCTTTTCAAACCATCAGGGTAGCATTCGTTATAACGGACTTGTAACCAATACCAGACTCATGAACTCAAAGATTGAAGACGTCTTTAGAAGGTGTAAGTTTGATCTTTACATCCACACCGTTTAACGGGTAGCGGCCTTGAGCAAAAATGTCAGTGTGAAAGCGCCCAATCATATTAGTTTATTGACTGACGTAGGCTAACTGTCCAGATATTTTTAGTCCTTTATAACCGGCATTTTGAGTATCATCCATAAAACCCGGCGTATCGCTCAGATACATGGCAACAGAAAGAGGCCTCTTGTTGAGGCATCTTCACCACACTTCAACGTGGCTTCCAGGTAGGTTCTATACTGATAAGCGAGAGCTATTGTAGGAAGGTTAGTTGCGTATCCTTTACAAGACTTTGTAGAACCAACCCTAGCAGCCCCTGGCCGTTGTTTGGTTTCTCTAGGCAATTTACGTCCAGTAGTTTGCCATTGCTTCTGGATGGTCGGCGCCTTGATACCACTATCGAAGCCAAGGCAAGGCACATGGCCCGCAGCTGGGATCGAACCCGGCACCACGGCATTACGAAGCGTTCGCATCGACTTAGCCACAGAGCTGACATGAGAGATATTGAGAGGATTATAAAGAAAATAGTGACACGAGGGGGCTTGACTGCCAGTCCTATATTGACACCACAGGATCATCATGACTGTGATTCTCCCAAACGCTTAAGTTCTAATTAAGGTAAAACACGAATATATAATGGAACCACAAAGAAGATAAATTTGTTAATGTTTATTTGTCTATGCCTTAGTGAAGTCAAATAAAGCACACAAGTACAAATACAATACAGTTAAAGGTTAAAGTTGAGAGGATCGACTTCATTGCACTTTTTATTCCATATGGCTCAGTCTCTCTTCCCAGAACGGCTAGCCGTCTGCCCAGAGCGACGTGCAAAACACGAACTCTGTAGCTTTGGCGACGCTCCCCAAGGATCTCTATAAAAATTGCACTGGTGAACTGAAGGGCGCAGCTGTAGAACGAACCCACGACCTTCATAGCGCTAGACAAACAGCTTGATCCCAGCGACACCGCCATGGAGAAAAATATAATTTTTCGATGTTAGTCTCCCCAAACAAAGTAGGTCACATTCCGCTGACAAATTTGTTGGGCTGGTCTACTTTCCTGCAGGTTAAGAGTGTGCCGCTCTGTTGTTTGCTTTCTGGATTGTCTTGCTTTTACGTTTTTATTCTAAAAAAAGAGAATGCATGTGATATAGATTTCATCACTCTCTAAAGGGGTTTGATGTTAGACCCCGTTTGTCGATGTTTTTGGAGTGTTAAAAGCGCTGGCATACTGAAATATACAACACGCAATATTAGTGAAATTGCGGAACACCCCCGTGACCTAGTGCCAAGGACACTTGGCTCAAGGTCGACCAATCAGAAGTGAGATAGGCTGAGGCTAAAGACTGACCAATCGAAGCCAAGGACAGTTATAAAGGCAAAAATAAATAAATGGCTGACTCGATTTGAGCCCAAGACGGTAGGATCGGCGAGTAGACGTTTAGCTGCTACGCCACCGCGGCTCCTCCAAATCACATAGCGTCAGTTATGTCAACAATATTTTTGACAGATGTTTATGTAGGTAGGTAGTTGTACCCCACCAGGACATCACACAAGCGATAAACATCCGGTGACACAAAGTGCCGCCATGCGAATGAGGGTCACACATGGAGAGGTCCAAGAAACCCCTTTCAGCCATATCTGTGGTCAGGCCATGTTTATGGCCCAGATATATTCAGGGCCCCCGGCAGAAGCCAGAATGGGGCTTCAAACCCCCCCCCCCCCAAAATGTCATCCCACATGGGGATGACTGATATTATGTTTATGTAGATATCATTGCATGTAATACATCTAATTATAAACTTTAAATTTCTGCTAAGAGATTATAAAATTTGATATACGAGTCTTTGGCTGGAGTGTTATTTATAAGAGGTTAAGCGCTGCAATAACATTTATTTGATTTTTATTTGGCTTTTTTTTTTTCTTTACTGACTTGCACTTCCTGCGCCACATCTGCACTTAAAGCCTCTCATTCGTCCAGCAGCATTGTAGCATAGTACCTCAATCGCTACATGATTGGTGGACACTTCTGCGGTCCACCACTGGTTTCACTGACCACCAATCGACGAACACTGATAAAAAATGTGTAATCAAAGTTAATGAACGGACATGAGTGCACATCGCCGGTGAGGCGCGCACTGCTTTAATCCCCGGGTGCACTTTCCATTACAACAGAAACATGCATTATTTCAAAATTTCCTTTTTTTTTTTTTAAACCAACAAATATGCAACTCCATTTACGTTTCACCTATCACTTTAACTCTTTCAGTATCAAGTGATTTAGTTTAAAAAACTTAAGGAGATAGAAACAATAAAAGGAGCATCAATGTATTCGTTTGAAACAGACAACATATACTATGTTGTATGTTACAATATGTAGCCAAATGTCTTTAGCATGCTCAAACCAAAAGTAAAATATATAATAACACACCGGTCGTTATTTGATATACGCTGATCATACACTGTATGTTGGTTGGGACTGCAAGAGTTAAGCTTGCTAAGAGTATTACCATGGCGAAAAGAACGCTTGCTGCATCCTTACGCTACTGATTCAGAAACGGTCACATTAAACTGCGAAGCAACGAGAAGAAAATATGACGTGATACCACCTCTAGTGAGATCGTAAAACACTTATACACGCGAATTTAGCCTGAATCGCCACTGATGCCTTTGGCACACTGCAAGACAAACACTGATGATGAAACGTCAGATAAGAAGGCTTTCTTTTCCTACTAAAATTATGAACATTTGAATGTTAAAAGTGTTCTGGCTAGGTCAAGCGGGACCATTTCGTCGGGGTGGTACCACGAATTCGCCAAAGCTATTGTCTTTTCCCAGCCATCAAGAAAGATAACTTTATGCCTAAGGTCAACAAATACGTGCCGTATCATCTCTAACAAATACGTTCCTAGATTGTCTCCCCCAACGGCGTGGTTAAAGTTAAATTCAAAAGAAGAAACGTGCGGGCCTCGTATTCCTACAACCACGTTTGGATTCCTGGCAAGCAACCGTTGTATGGCGTCACGCACTGCTGTCAACCGAAGATAAGCAATATTGAGATGTGAGGGTGCCAGATGCATGTAATAGTGGATCACAAGAAAATGTGTGCCGTTGGAAGAAATCTCGTCTATCTGTTTCGCCACTCCTCCATAAGGAAGACGTGGACGCCAGACTTGACCTAGATAAACTGGGTATTCTATAGGGGTAAATCTAAAAGTGATCCCATTTATTTTATCTCTCCTAATGAACTGGTAGGGCCAACTCCCTGAATTGTTTTCAACTTCAGTCAGATTAGAAAGTGTGTTAATCAAGGCCCAACCATTTGAATCCCCAAAAATCCACACGGTTGAATTTCGAAGACAAGACACTGTCCAATCTGCTGTTATGTTTGGTCTCTCACACACCAACGACTGCCAATAGTTGCCAGGAGTCCAGTAGCCCCGGGGCCGAGGTTCTATGTCCCAGGTATAAATAATGCTGGTTTCGGAGCAAGGTTTGAGTTTCGGCAACTGACCTAAGGATTGAAAGCAAAAGTTCAACTATATAGGCTAGCTTATTAGAATATTACCATCTTCTTCTCCTCGTCCTTCTAACTCTCCTTCTCCTTTTTTCTCCTACTCCTCCTTTTTTTTCTTCTAATCCTCCTTCTTCTCCTCCCTTTTCCCCTCCTACTACTCCTTTTCCTCCCTTTTCCCTTCTCCTCGTTCTCGTACTCCTCCCCCTCTTCCTCCTCTTCCTCCTCTTCCTCATCCTCCTCCTCATACTCCTGCTCCCCGCCCTTCTTCTCCTCGTCCTCCTCTTCGTCCGCCTCCTTCTCGTCCTTCTCGTCTTCCTACTCCTTCTTTTTCTCCTCCTCCCCTCTTACTCCTCCTATTCTTCCTCCTCCTCCTGCTCCTCCTCCTCCTCATCTTCGTCTCCTCCTCATCATCTTCGTCTCCTTTTCCTCCTGCTCTTGCTTCTGCTGCTACTGCTGCTGCACCTTCTTCTTTTTTTTCTTTCTTTCTTTCTTTCTTTCTTTCTTTCTTTCTTTCTTTCTTTCTTTCTTTCTTTCTTTCTTTCTTTCTTTCTTTCTTTCTTTCTTTCTTTCTTTCTTTACTTTCTTTCTTTCTTTCTTTCTTTCTTTCTTTCTTTCTTTCTTTCTTTCTTTCTTTCTTTCTTTCTTTCTTTCTTTCTTTCTTTCTTTCTTTCTTTCTTTCTTTCTTTCTTTCTTTCTTTCTTTCTTTCTTTCTTTCTTTCTTTCTTCGTTCTTCTTCTTCTTCTTCTTCTTCTTCTTCTTCTTCTTCTTCTTCTTCTTCTTCTTCTTCTTCTTCTTCTTCTTCTTCTTCTTCTTCTTCTTCTTCTTCTTCTTCTTCTTCTTCTTCTTCTTCTTCTTCTCCTCCTCCACCTCCTCCTCGTCCTTCTCCTCCATCTACAGTTACTTTGTCGAAAGTTGGGAAAGGATGCATGAATTTCCCATGTACTCCTTCCTTCTTCTTCATCTTCTTCTTTGTACACCGGCTGTAAGCTCTGGCGGAATGTCCAGTTTATTCATTCATTCATTCATTCATTCATTCATTCATTCATTCATTCATTCATTCATTCATTCATTCATTCATGTGTGTAAATGCACATCAGTTTTACTTTCCTTTTTGTGTGCATCCTGACGGTGCCGCCTGCAGTGAACTGAAACGCCTGGTGCGGCTGCAGTTGCCTGCGGCGACGCGTCATGTCATGTATATTTTAAAGAAAGGGGAAAATAATTTGGACATATGATGCTAAACTTTCATTTATCTTTCAGAGGAAAAAAAAAGTGGAAGTTGTTTGGTTAAGTCGTCGTGCTAGTGTGTCAGCTGAGGGCATTTATAGGTAATCGAGGGGTCACGACATACGATACAATGGTGTAATTATGGTTAAAGTGGCGAGTGTGGTGTCTCGGGGTTAGGTGTCAGTGGATCATGGTTTTAGTGGTAGCTAAACTGTGATATGTTTGTGGTCTGATAAATGGTTTGTCAAGTATGTCGCAGTTGTATTATTTTTGTTGTTTGTGCCCCTGTTATCGCACCTCTTTACTGCAAAGTTGTGGTTTGATATATGGGTGGTATAGCATGTCGCAGGGGTCTGCCTATAGTTGGTGTATTACTCTCTTTGTCTTTGATGTTATTGTATGTCACTAGCACTGCGGACGTAGCTGGTGGAGGGTGACGCGCGTAGGTGTGAGTGCCGCGGGTGGTCTGTGTGCTGCGGGGTGGCTCTGCGGGTACGGCTTGGTTTGGGTGTCGCTAGGTGAAGCGGGTACCACGGGTTGTGTGGGTGATACTGTGTTGTGGGTGCCTCGGGCTGTGTGGGTGCCGCAGGTGGTGTTATGCCACAGACAGTGTGGGTGCCTGAGGCGGCACTCACACCACTCGGTACTTCTGCGGCACCAGCGATATATAAGGTCATCAAAGACAATAATGCAGCAGCTATTAGCAGACACCTACGACATGCTTCTCCACTCCTATTTCAGACCACAACAGCAGTAGATGATAAAAGGGGGATAAACAAAAAATGCTACTAACAATAATACACCTACGACATGTATATATCTTCTTCTTCTTCTTTAGCATTCAGAGCCCTTGAGGTTCATTGCTGCAGATATCATTCACCTCCATTCATTTCTCTGGTTGGCCTTCTCTTTCCAGTTGGTGATAATGAGTGTTTGCAGGTCTGTCTGGACATTATTTCTCGATCGTCTTCTTGGTCTGCCTTGTGGTCTACGATTATTTATGTCCCGTATGCCCCAACCATTTCAGTGTATTAGCTCTCATGATGCCAGGTATTAATGGTGATTTAAACAGATTATTAATTTCGTTGTTGCTTCTCACTGTCCATTCACCGCTGTTTGCATCTTTGATAGGTGCAAACATTCGTCCTAAGACTCTGTTTTCGAAAACCCGTAATAAGGCTTCATCTCTTTTAGCTGGGCTCCAAGTTTGAGAGCCATATAAAACGACTGGTCTTATCAACGTTTGAATGTGTTTTGACAGTCTCTAGTTCATTTTCTCCAACGATATAAATGTCATCAGCACATCCAAGTATTCTTGTGAATTCTCCTACAGTACACTCTTGTTTTAATTTCCTTATAATTTTCTCCAGGGCCAAGTGAAAAAGAAGTGGAAACAGAGCATCTCCTTGCTTTAAACCAGATGTTATTTGAAAAGGGTCTAACTTTTTGCCTTTATATATTACTATACTACAAGTGTCTTTCATACATAGTTTGGTCATAATAATTAACTTCTTTGGTATTCCAAAGTCCTTCATAGCATTCCATAAACTGTTTCTGTGTACACTATCCCAAGCCTTTTTTTTTTTTTTATCCACAAAAACTATTTGTGCTTCTCTTCTATATTCCTAATTTTGCTCTGCTATTTGCCGGAAAATGAATATCTGATCTATTGTTGATCTGTTCTGTCGGAAACCTGCTTGGTAATCGCCCATCTTTACATGTAATGCATGACCACTTTTTTGATGAGGTCTATCAGCACCAGTTGCTTTATTGTTTTTGAGTCGTATTATGACATACAGTACTTCTTCAAAATCAAACTCTTCAGTATTTGGTTCACATAATAATATCTATTTCTGTGGAATAGTATTAAATGGAGATTCACAGTTTAACACTTCAACAAAATTTTCCTTCCATCTGTTACAAATTTCCTCATTATCATTTATCTTGTTCCCATTGTGATCTTTTAAACAATAAATGCTTTGCTGATGCCCTCGTTTTACAACCTTCAGTTCTTTAGAAAAACTTTCTTGATTCGTTGTTCTGATGGCTAGCTTTCATATTCATGACAATGTTGTTCATGTATTCTCGCTTTTGGTGCCTAACTATTTTTGTAGCTTCTTTACATTCTGTTCTATATTTTTTTTTCTCCATTTCGTATGTTCATATTTTCATTTAGTCAAATCTGCCTGGCATTTTTTTTTTCTTTTACTTTTTCTTAACATTTTGTATCGAACCATTTGTTCTTTCTGTTTATGATGGACAAACCAAGACATTTTTCTGCAGTAGTTTAAATTAAATTCTTATTATCCATCCAACGTCTTCTTCTGACGGAATTTGAAACATTTCAATTTTATGTTTTAATTTATCTGCAAATTTCTCTGATATGAATGTTTCTTGTAATATTCCTCTATTGTACTCTGTGTGTGATCTTTGTAACTTGGTGTAGAAGGATCTGTTTAAATTGATTTTCAATTTTGCACCAACTAGGTAGTGGTCACTTTGAGACCTAGCTCTTCTGTAGCTTCTAACTTGTTGTATGTTCAATACATTGCTATTATTTATTAAAATGTGAATTATTTGATTATGCGTTATCTTGTAACATGATTGCCAGTTTTTTTTTTTTTTTTTTTTTTTTTTTTTTTTTTTTTTTTTTTTTTTTTTTTTAATGTATATCTTTTCTTTGAAATCTGGTGCTGCTTATCTGTAGTCCTTTTTATTTAAATTATTAAGTAGGCTTTCAATGCCTGCTACATTTGTATAGGTGTTTTCTCTTCCTATTTTTGTATTGTAATCTTCGACATGCATATATGTCTACCAATATATCAGATTATCTACATATCGCAGACTAGCTACCGCTAAAACCATAAGCCACTGGCACCTAATCCTGCGATACCACACCCAGACTCTTTGCCCTAATTGTCCCCCATTGCACCATGTGTTGTGACCCCTCACTGACCCACAAATGTCTTTAGTTGGCACACTAGCAGGACGACCTGACCCCACAACATACTTTTTTTTCCTCAAAAAAGGTTTTGAATGAAAAGTCCACAATATTTTCATCTTTTTTGAAAATATACACGACACGATGCAGCATGTGATTGCAGACAGCACCAGATATTGCATGCACCGTAGGGTAGTGGCACTGGATACTACCTAATTTGCACATATATAACTACTGTCTTTTCTTGTTTTATTTACAATGGAACCCCCACGGGCAGTACTCTTTCCAAACCACTGTATAAGTTAGGCTTCATTTCTTTAGGGCTGTTCTAGATATCGACACTCCACGTTCTGCTTGGTCTACCCTTGTTTTGTTTTCGTCTTATGTCTTCAATGTCGCTCTCCGTGCCAGCTGTTACCAGGGCATTCAGTGGCGAAATCACGCCATCTATTGCTCTTTAATAAACTATCTGACTGGTTTTAGTTGGATACTTCTATTTTTGTCCCCTCATTTTGTTTTTCTAAGACATCGTATCTGTGTTGTATGGATTTGCCCTGATTAGTTTTAGTAACGGTTCATGCTTCATACTGGTAGCATAAAATTGTCCCATACAATAGTAAACCTGGTTCGCACATACACACATCTCCAAAACTTGTGTGTGGCGCCATTGTGCAGACAGTCAAATCTTATATCCTTTTGCCGGACCAGTTGTAGACTCATAAATTATTGTCGCACAAAGATATTCTCACTATGCCGGCGTTAACAAATGTCGCAAAGATGATTATTATCCACATATGATTCAAAGATTTCTTTCCACTTCTATCTATAG